CTGGCCCCATTACCTCGCTGCGATGGTTGGCGAGATACAGCCTTGATAATGGGGGAGATACGGGCGTCTCGGTGGCCAATGGCCCAGCCTCTCCTCCCATTAACATTCCCCACCAGCGATCCGCTCCCGCGCCTATCTCCTCTGTTTCCAGTCCTCCCGCAGATAAGGATGGAAATTCTGACTTCATAGCTCGCTGATTAAAGTGTCTGGATTTCTTGATAATACGCAGATAAATTATGTTTTTGAAAAAGAAGGTAGGGAAGTGGGTGGGGGCCTGGGAGGGAGTCCTTGGCTGCTGCCCCTGCTCTTGCTGGCCTCCCCTGGCCCCAGGCCCAGCCGTGAACCTCGGACCTCCTGACCTGCTGACAGACAGCAGACTGAGCTAGAGCTGCCTGGGGCCAGGAGAAGGGCAAGTGGACTGGAGGGGCAGACCAGAGTGACAGTGATACAGAGGGTGCCAGGCTGCCCAGCCGTCAGCAGGAGTCGTGTTCTGGGGTGCAGAAAGGACCCAGCACAGTTGAGGCTGGAGCCAAGGTGGTGGGTAGAGAGGTCAGCTAGAGCAGAGCCCCGTCCCTCAGTTTCCCCATCTGTGGAATGGGTACAGGAGCAGTGCCCAACTCTGGGCTTGTCGGGTCACAGGGCCGTGGAGAACTGGGAGGGGTCAGTTTCCGTTGGCCCGGCAGAGTGGCGTTCCCTGGGTGACCATTCCAGGTGGCAGGACAGGAAGGCTGCGGCCCAGGGTGGTCTCCCACTGGGCCCTTCAGCCCCGTCACCCGACGCCACGGCTGTGCCTGGCACTGCCACTCTGTCAGGTGGCGCCCGCAGGGCGTCAGGTGCCAGCACGTCTGCCTGGATAAAGCCGCCTCCTTCAGCCGATGGGAGATCAGTGATGGCGCACAGCGTGGGATCAGGGCGCTGCTAATCCTCCAGCTGAGGGACAGGCGGGGTGGGGGGGCATGGCTGGTGCGCGACATGAGCCCCGGGGGCCAGAGAAACTGAGCCAAGACCATGTCATACACCCCGATGACGGCGACGCCCAGACAGCTGGACACCTCGCCCTCATTTCTGGTGACGCAATGGTTAAGGCATTTAGCTGCTTACCTAGAGGCCGACAAATCCAACCCAGCAGACCCTGCGGGGAGAGAATTGGGGCTGTCTCGGGGCGGGGAGCTTGCAGCCTGGGAAGCACCGTCTTGGAGGCACGTGGCTTCCCCAGGGGCATCATGCCACCGACCCAAAGCCCAAGCACCTCTGCGGTTCAAGTCCACCAGCAGCGCTGAGGGAGAGAGGTGGGCATCCTCCTCCCACGCGGCCTTCAGCCTCCAAGACCCACTGGAGGCTCGGCAGTGGGAGGCCACCTCCTTGAGACCTGAGTCCGGGCTGGCTCATGGCAGTGGCTTTGGTTTGGGATTTTGAGAAGCACGTTTCTCTGGGGTCCCAGATCTGGGGTGCCTGGTGGGGCCTGGGCAGAGGTCAGAGGCTCCTGGGTCTCTCTGTAGGGATTCCTAGTGACACGTGGCCATGACAAGGTCGGGCCGTGCTGTAGTTGGCTCTGGCTCTTAGGAACCCTGTGTGGGAATCGGGCTGACCGTGTGTCCCGGAACAGAGGCCCTGGGTGGATTTGAACCACCAACCTTTCCATTATCAGGTGACCACTTAAAGGAACATCACCAGGGCTTCATAGCTCATCACTCCCCATCTTACGCAGTCGTGGTGCAGTGAATTAAGCGTTGGGCTGCTGACCTAGATACCTGCAGTTGACCCTCCTGCTAGGGGCTCTGAGGGAGAAGTTGTGGCACTCAGCTTCTTCATGGTGCACAGAGGCCCTAAGGGGCAGTGACCCTGCGGCATGAGGGTCAAGGTTAGTGTTAGGGACAGTCACAATAATGTGGTGTGAGGGTTTGGTCAAGGTTAGGCTTGGGGCAGTGACGACCCAGTTTAAGGTTAGGGGCAGCAAGGGCTCAGCGTGGGTGGCTTTAGGTGTTGGCTTTCTTCACACTGATTACCTTGTCTGGGTGTACCCCCTGAGGTGGAGTGAAGGTGCTGGGGACCCCGTCTCATTCGTGGAGTAGAGGTACCAGGAGACTAATCCAGGGACCATGGTCCAGGTGTGATCTTCACCTGGCTCCATTCCTTCCTGGGACATTGAAGCCACGGGCCCCTGTCTCCTTCTTACATGGGGCCCACACCTGTGTTTTGGGGAGAAAGACCCCAGCACTGAAGGGACCACTCAGGCCACAAGCTGGTCCCGGAGCCAGGGGGGCCCAGGCTGCCCAGCCAGCACCACTCCTGGGACTCTCAGGAGTCATCCGCGTGTCCCCCAGGAAATGCTCCTCCATGGGAATGGCTTGCTCTCTGTCCTGGGGTTTTATTTCCGTGTTTAATGTCCTGGGGCATTATTTCCATATTCTCCAGGGAATCTGTAAACTCTCCAATGAGGCAGCCAGGCAGGGTGGGCATACGGAGAAGGAGGGCCAGGGCTCACATCCTGCCCCTGGGCCTCAGTTTCCTCATCTGTGCAGTGGGCATCAGTGCAGTGGATGCCTCTTTGCCTTTTCAGGAGTTGGAGCATACAGTGCAGGGCATGTGGGGGTGAGGGTCCCAGGGCTAGGTAGCCTCCCTGTGCCCTGCCTGCCAGCCGCACACCACTGTGAAGCTCACCAGCAGGCTTTGTGATGAGTGTTTGTTGATTGGTGAGGCTGAGTAGTGGCCGGGCAGTGACCACCAATGGGCGGCAGGGAGGAGGCACAGGGCCTCTGGCCACCTGCATTATAGTCCCACCTCTTCAGCTCTGCCTGCTCTCCATTCCTGGCCCCACCCACCCAGCTGTGCACCCCAGGCCCAGCCCCTTTCTGCAGCTGGACAGCTGAGCGGGCTGGACGCCAGGCGGGGAAAGGGTCCACCCCTCACCATCTGCCCTGCCCCTCCTCCCAACAAAAGAAAGAAAAGGGAACCGTGGTAGCAGCTGGGAGAACCACTATCAGAACAGTATGAGCCACTAGCCAGGGGCTGCTGTTCCCTTAGCGCGTCCCCCGAATGCCAGGACTCAGTATGGCTCCCAGCCCACTGACTACAGCCAGAGTGGACAGCAAGGTGGAGAATCTGCAGCCTGGTCATCGTCACTGTCCTGCAGAGGAAGACAGAAAGGGGCAATGCAGGTGTCCCCACCTGCCCTCTATGCAGGGAAGGAGTGGGGCAGGGGAGGCCCCAGGTGATCTGCATCCTTTCTCTCTCTGACCTATCTTTAAGGGGGGGGGCTTTGGTTGGGCCTGCACTGTGGGCAAGACCTCCCTAGTCCTGCCCCTAGAACCTCAGCCCCCAACCTCCCTACTTTGGGCTTCCCCCAGGCCCCCTAGAGTCCCCTGCCTTTCCAACCTTCACCCCCAACCCCAGAGCGTGGCCCTGCAGACCCCTCTGCCCCCTAGTCTTCCTGCCCCTGCAGTTCCCCCTGGCCCTAGACTCACCCCCAGCCTCCTGTCCCCCACTCTACTTCATCTACAGACTTGTCCCCAAAGCTGAGAACTCTCTTACCCTTTGCTACCAGCCAATGGGAACGGGACATGCAAATAAGGAGCATGAGATTCAGGGACTGGCTGAGAAGATGTGCAAGGGATAGAACCTCCCTGGGGAGCCCTACAGTAGCTTCTCTAGGGGACCTGAGTGCCCAGAGCAAGGGAGGAGTGGGCTGGCCTCTGGATGGCCTCTCCAGGCCCCAGACTTCTGCTGCATGTTTGGGGCCCAGGCCCTGGGCAGTCTGAGCACGAGTGCAGCCACAGTGGCCCCCAGACGGGAACATGCGGCTCATGTAAGCACACGCGTCCGCACAGCGCCCTGCCCACCCGTGAGGTCTAGTCCCTCTGCTGGGCCATCTGCCCTCCTGCAGCTCCCTCCTTAGACGTCCGTTCCAACCTCTGCCAGGCCTAAGCACTGCAGCCCTCAGCTAGCCTCGGTGCCACTGGCCATCAGGGCCAGTGCTTCCTGTGCCTGCCATGTGTGGGGACAGGGCTCTGCCATCTACCAGGCTCTGACTTTGAGAAGGAGGTACCAGCCACATCCCACCCCATAGCATGCTGGTCTGCCCAGCAGACAGCAGCCCGGGGCTCCATGAGAGAGCCCACCTCAACGTGGGTGTGGAACCTGCTTAAGTGGAAACTAGCAGAGAGGCATTGGTGGTCAGGACCTGCTGAGGCTGATCTAGAGAGGAAACAGGGAGGGGCAGTAGATGAGGGACCAAGTCAAAAGGGGCGTAGTGCTCCCAGGTGGGTGATGGACAGGGCAGCAGAGCGTTCCCCGGCCAGCTTCCCCCCCAGGGATATCCCTCCGTCTCTGCTGCTGGGATAGTGCTGGGCACACAGCTGGTGCTCCATAAATGCACACCTGATTATTAAACCAACTCCCCTTCGCATAGGCACGGTGGTGAGCAGCCTTCAGAGGCTGCGGGGTTGATATGGGGAGCCTCTGTCTACATGGAGAGCCAAGACTCAAACCTGGAGAGTCCCCAGTGCCAGACAAGCCCCCTATTTGTCCCGGGACCCCATCACCTGGGAATGCGGATGGACAGGCCAGCTTGGACGCCCCGTGTTTCTGTGTCTGCTGTGTGCTGACCGCCTGGACCAGGATGGGGAAATGAGCCCTGATAAGTTGGTGTCATTGTTAGTGCTGTCGAGTGTGACTCAGCGACCCTAAGACAGCAGACCTGCACCGTGTCCTGTCCTGCGCCGTCCTCACATCTCCGACACTAGAGACCGTCGCTGCCTTCGCTGCGTCAGTTCATCTCATTGAGGGTCTTCCTGTCTTTTGCTGACTGGAAGGCTTTAAGTACTGAGATGAGACATCCAAGGGACGACCTGCTTTAGTGGGCCAGCAAGCAATGAAGATGAGGAGGTGACCTTTAATCAGACTTGAGCATGTGCCAGGCATTTGGTGGGTGCAGGGAACAGCATTCCTGGCATAGGGAACAGCAGGGGCAAAATCTCTGAGCAGGAAGTGAGGGCTGCAGCATGGCCAGGCGGGGGAAGTGGAATGCTGACGCCCATTTGGGACAACAGGAACCCCGAATGCCCCAGTGGGGTGAGAACTTAGCCAAAAGTCCTCCTTCTGACCCAGCAGCCATGCTGCAAGAGAAAGACCAGTGGTCTGCACTCTTCAAGCCCTAGAGTCTCAGAGACGCCTACGGTCCTGCTCGCCCAGGGGGCTGTGAGCCGACCGACAGGCGCCACTGGCATTGGGGTCAGCACAGCGAGCTGTCTCCCAGCCCACAGTCAAACCTTGAGTGTGGCCTAGCCCACCTGGTACCTGCTCGGCCCCGACATTGCTTTCTGCCTGCTGTGTTTGTACAGCCAGGGTCCACTGTGTCTTGGGAAGGCCACTGACTTTAATGGGGCAGGGGAGGAGGTGGGCAGGACCAGGGGTGAGCTGGCAGCTTCCAGTCCCTGCCCTCCTCTTCACTCATTTGTGTACCAGATTTTACCTCCACACCTACTGGACCCCACCGTGCTGGCTCTGGGGATCCAGGTAAAGCCTACCAGCTCCCCGCACCCCCGACCACCACCAGCCTAGTCTGCAGGAACCACGCTGCATCCTTGGCCACTTACAGCCTGCGGCCTCCCACGAGCCGGGGACCAGACAGCTGGCTCCAGGCAGGAGATAACCGCTGTGGTTCTCTTGTTCAGACTAGAGTGGTACAGGCTGCCAGGTCTGGAGCCAGGTTACCCAGGTGTAAATCCCAGTCACACTGTTCATTGACCAGGTGTTCTCAGGCAGTGACTTAGACAACCCTCCCTCTCCTGCTCGCTCGGCTGTGAAATGGGCTCGGAGGGGCATGTTAGGTGCAATATGTCAGCCAGCTGGTTTCAGCATGGTTGTTCCTGGCAGGCATCCAGGCCTGGGAGACCCCCGGGACCACTGAACTGACGTCCAGGGTCTTCAGACTAGTCCCTGAATTCTGAAGGGGACAGGAGTGTTTATGGAATACCAGCTGTGTGTGCAGGGGGTCCTGGTGGCACAGTGGTCAGGCGCGCCTCTGCTAACTGGTCAGTGGTTCGTGCTCGGCTGCTCTGTGAGGATGAGGCGGCCTGCTGCTGTCAGGGCTCAGCACCCTGGGAGCCGCGTGGGCAGCTCTGCTCTGTCCGCAGGATCCCCACAAGCTGGACTAGATTCATGGTCCACAGTCTGCCAGGCAGGTGTGCTAACAGACTTGGGTGGTCTGGGGGTGTCCAAATGCCTTCCAGCGGGGAGGCCTGCTCTGCTCACATAAGCCCTGGGCACTGAGTATGAGCGCTGCAGGAAGAGAAGGCCTCTATTTCCCATCTTGCAATAGGGGTAGTGAATCGCTGCAGGGGCCTGGGGTAGAGGCCAGGAGTCCAGACACAAGGATAAAGCCTGCTCAATCCAGCGCCCAGTGCACCCCGGGAGGCCCTCCCAGTACCCTGAATCAGGCCAACCTACACCCCTGCACAGTGAGCCTGGAGAGTGGAGCTGCCTCAACTGGGCTGCTGACACATTGTCATTTCTACAGGGGCAGGCAGAGCAGCTAGTGGGTTCGAACGTCTAACCTTGAGGGAGCAGCTCGCCATTGGAGCCACTGCACCAGCCTGGTTCCTTGCTTGACACAGTGGCCTGGGTTATGTCCCGAACAGCTGGGAGTGAGCTCTCGGGCTTCTTAACTCTGCCACATCTGGGGTGGCCAAGAAAATGCTCGCTTCCCCAAGTTACAGCACCGGTCCCTACCCCTCCAGCTGTGCCCAGCCTGTTCACTGCTCCGCTGCAGGGCCTGTCATGGAGCCCCATCTCTCTGAAGGCATTCGGCCTGGGTGCATCTGACATGCACACGGCTCCATCTGTCAGCCCTATCGCCCACTCATCAGAGACACCCTCCCAGGCCGGCGCCCCTCTTCCCGGCCTGCTCAGCCCCCACCCACAGCCTCTGTCTCCACACTGGCCTGGCCTGTGCCCAGCCTCAGCCACCTCCCAGGGACCACCACCTCACCCCCGCTGGACTCTGTGTCCAGCCCCTCCCCTGGGCTCAGCACGGGTTCCTGGGAGCCCAGCAATCTCCCGTAATCTATCAGCCACTATCGGGCCATCGGAGCCGGGAGTGGCCGGCTCAGAGATGGCGCCAAGTGTGCTCGTTGATAAAGTTTCCGAGAGGAGGAGAGGAGCGTGATGAATGTGGAGTGACCCGGCTTGAGGGATGTGGACTGGGCAGGCCCGCCCGGCTGAAACCGATCTCCCCATCAACAGCCGGGCTTCTCAGGCCCGCACGCTCCGTCCTCCGCCACCATCTCCCTTTCTCTCAGCCGTGCCCACCAGGTGGCCCTAGTCACAGAGGGTCCTGCACACCCTAGGCTGGAAAGCAGGAGGGCTGCCTGGAGGTGGTATCAGCTGGCCAGGCTGCACACACTATAGGCAGATGCCCACTTGCTATGTCCAGTGTCCACTGCACTGTCACTGGCCTCCCCACCCCCTCCAACCCTCTGGGGGCTGCGGCAGTCCTCTCAAGTTCCCAGGACAATCACTCTTCTTCCCACCTCGGGAATTTGCGCTGTCTGTTCCCTCGGCAGATAGTTCTTCCTTTGGTTCACCTCCTCCAGGAAGCCCTCACTGACCACCCCTTTGATGTGCTTTTCTGGCACTACCTGCCATCCCCACTCTGACCAGTCTGAGTCCCCATCCACATAGTCCTGTTGGTGATGAAGGCTGGGACATCTGGAGGGACTGCCCCCTGCTTGTGGTACAGTTGTGTCTGGTGCTTCTTTAACTTGTGCAAGGCTCTGTCCCACCATGCCCCCTCACGGGCTTGATGCCTAATAACCATTTACAGCCCCAGGTCTGGGTGGGTCCCGGTCCGGTGCCCTGGAGGACTGACCACTGCACATGTCCAGTTTGCTTTGGGCCGGCTTTGGTGCAGTCTCATCCTGGACAGAGTATGGGCAGATGGCCAGAGGAACTAGTCTCCCATAGACTCTGTGATGGGGGCCCTCCATAAACTGTAGGGTATGGGGTGCACGTATCTGGGGGGGGTGGGCCACAACTCCTGCAGAGGAGGAGGCCTGGGTGCCTGGGCCAGGGACACAGAGTGGGGCCAGCAGGGGATGAAGCCACCCACTGGCTGAGCCGGGTCATGCCTGCAGGGGGTGGATGGTCACTGGGGAGACAAACACAGGTATGCAGGGACTAGGAGTGACAGGGACATGCTGAGACATTTGGAGGATAGGTGACAGTGTGTTTACTCTGTCTGATCTGTCTCGAGGAGAAACTGAGGCGCTCAGGACTACAGGGCCCACAGACCCAGGCTTGTTCCTCATGGAAGACCCCTCATGATGGGGGCAGTGAGGCCACAGCCTGGCCCTGAGGCTTCATGTGTCCTCTAGAGGATGAGTGTCCTGGGCCTCTCAGTGTGACCATGTCATGGGTGTCTATCCTGTCCCGGCACCCAACAGAGTCCACGTGTGGAGAAGGCCCATCTGGGCCAGTGCCAGCAGGCTGGGCACAGCCATGTGCTGGCCACAACCTGAGCTCCTGGGCTGGCCACAGGAGGAAGTGGCTGTGGCTGGGGGCCAGGATATGGGTGTGAGAGCCCTCCTGGGTGCCTGCCCTATCTCCCCACAACTCATCCCTCCCAGCCAGAGACCCCAGGGCAGGGCCGTGCTTCTTAGGGGACAGTTGGCATCAGTGTGGAGGCCACAGGTGAAGGGACGCAGAGCCCTGAGAAGGCCTGGGACCACGTTCAGGGATCTGAACCGCTGTCCTTGCTCCAAGCGTGTGGTGTAAGAGGGGCCAGGGAATGAGGTCATCTCCTCCCCACTCCCGCCCCACGTCTTCACAAGCGCTTTTATCTTGTCCTTGGCCGTCCAAATGGCCCCCGACACCCCTTACAAGCTGCTCTGCACCCCTGATGCACCATCAAAAGGGTCTTTATCAGACCAGCCTCAGCATCTTCCTGGGGGCGATCAGAAAAAACGGGGAGGAGGGGCCCGAGAACGGGAGGGGTTTGAGGGCACGGAGGAGCCAGGCTGGGTGCACGGCTGGTTCAGTGGGACCCGCGGCAGCTGAGAAAGGCAGTGGACGTCAGCAAGTCAGCTCTTCCTTGACCCTTTGAGTGAGTCTCCAGCAGCCTGGGCCATGTGGGTCCTGGGGTTGTCTGAGGTCATGAAATGTTTCCCCACAGCAATTGTTCCAATAAACATCTGTGCCTCTTAGAGCCAGATGACACCTCTGAGGGTGACTGTTCAGGGAGTGAGTGCCTGCTGCCCACTGCCATTGAGAGGGGCCACTAGGCCCCCATCATTACCCCACCATCACCCTGGTCCCCAGCCTCTGGTTCCGGCCCTTTCCTTGCAGACACTGTTGGGGGAGGTGTCCCTGGCCCCAGTGACCTCTTTGATGCCAAGCCAGGAGTAGGTACACTGTGGGCCTGCCTTCTGCCTGACCTTGACCTTCTCCCCCTCCATCCTTCCTCCACTCCTGCCCTTCTGACCCCTCCCCGCAGGTCCACTTGGCCTGGCAGCCAGCCGCACTGCAGTTAGGGTTGTTTATGGAAACCGCTTGACCGAGGGTTTGGGGTTCAGGGCTGGGGTGCTGGTCCCTGACCCAGCAGACTGACCACCACTCCATGCCCCAGTTGCCCACCCATCAAGCCTCAGCTGGGCTGGAAGATCTTTAAAACTGGCAGCACTGCTCTGGGCCCAGACTGCCCCTGTCCCAGCTGGGTCTCCCATCACCTGGGCCCCCTCCCTAGCTGCTTGCAGGCCCCGCCATGGCCTGAGCCGCCCTCTGCTTGGCCAGTGGGAAAGCCCAAACCTGTTACTATTTTCTGCTATCGACCTTATCTGGTGCTGTGTGCACCAGGAGGCCTGGGTCTCTTGGCACGGTGCTGCCCCCACCCGCTGCCCAGGCCGGGTCAGAAACTGCCTCCCAGGCAGCCTGGCAGCTCTCCCTGTTCCCCAGGCCTCCCTGCAAACCCCAAGGCCTTCCCCTTCCCCCACACCCCTTTTTTCCCCGCTGCCCCTCACAGCTAGCCCCAGACATTTTCTCCTCCACCCCTACTGTATACCCGCCTCTTCCATGCTCCTGGGGACTCGCACGTCCAACCCTGCCCAGCCCAGGTGTGGCACCTCCCCAAAACATGGAGATGCCCACTGGGGTCCCCAACAAACGTGACCAACCATCCAATGAGGAGACGAGGCTGCCCGAGGCCTGAAAGGCACTTCCTGAGCCCAGTTGCTGGTATGCTGCTGCTCTCCCTACCCACTCACCCATCACCTCCTCCAGGAAGCCTTCCCCACAAGGGCTCCCACTTTGCTTTCATGGCTATGGCTGTATGTGGAGTTTCACTTTGAGGGGGCACCTCAGGCACTGCTGGGCAGCAGGGCCCAGCACAGGGTCAGGCCCAGAGGGCCCTGGGATAGCTTGATGAGTACGTGAATAAGTGAGCGAGTGACCGAGGAAGGGAGGAAGGGAGGGGGTGACGAGTGAATGACGGACTTGAACTGGTGAAGGAAGAGGCCATGCAGAAGCTGGCCTGTGCCCCTGTGGGCAGGTGTGCCCACCCAGGAGGCTGGGGGTTGGGGACAGGATGTCCTTGTCTCCGTGTCCGGTCAGCAGGGCTTGCAGGGGTGGGCTGGGCTGGTGGGTCAGCCCTGTCCAGGGGAGCATGGGCAGGGGGCTGGTAGTGGACGTGCAGACAGACAGAGCTGCCCAGGAATGGGCTCAGGGTCAGGAGGACTGAGCCAGCAAAGGGCTTGTTCCCTGTATCTCTGGCTGTGTGAGGCACAGTAACCTCAGGTCAAGGGCAGTTTGTGGGGCCCTTACCCAAAGGCACACAGCCGGGAAGTCCTGACGGGGCTCCCCCAGGTCTCCAGTGGACCTCTCCACCTGGCCTGCAGGTCCACAGGCTGGGCATTGACCACTCTACCAGTGACCATTCAGGCTCAGAAGAGAAGGGGTCCCCACATCTGTCAAAATCGGCTGGAATGCATGAAGGGAGCCGGGGTCCCCACCCCCCAGAGCCGCCTCATAATTCCATTTTAAAAGCATGAAGAAAGGGGGTTGATGGAGCACCGCTATCAGCACCAAGCCAATATGCAAACTATCTCAGCCCATCAAATAGTCATTATGTTTGCATTTCACTCCCGCGTCCGCTTAATGAGCGGGAGACGGATCCACGTGCGGGTATCTGCTCGTCCTGATAACCGAGGGGCTCGGGGCACCGCGGGGGTGGCTCCCACTGGCCAGCACCCCCACCACACCCCAGGTGGGTCCGCATCATGCCTCTCTGTGGGATTGCAGGACTAGGCAATGTCCAGTGGCCTGGTAGAGCGGGGTGCTTCGGGGACGGGGACAGGAGGCGGGGGTCTGAGGGCGACCCTGCTTCTGTGCACCGCTCAGCCCTCCCCCTCGATGATGCCACGTCAGCTTACCCTCGGCCTCAGTTTCCTCATCTGCTAAGTAGGCATCACTCAGACTTACCTCTTGGGATATCAGAAGGCTCAGGGCTGGAAGAAACTGGCCTGTGGGGAAGCATCATTGCAGGCTGCCTCCCTCTGCCCTGCCGCCACCCCCTTCTCCACCCATGTCCCCTCACTGTCCTCTCATGCTCCACCCATGTACCCACAGCTTGGCCTCCACTCCCTCACACCTCCCCCTGCCCTGTGTCCTGGGACCCCCCCCCCCAACCCTCTGAGCCTCAATTTCCTCACCTTGAGGTAGAGATGCGTGATCAGCCTCCCTGGTTTTGCAGAGAACCTCAAATTAGTCTTCAGCTTTTCCACGATAGATGGGGAAAAGATGTGGTTGTCAAAGATCTTTCACTTAGCTCCACAGTCAACACCATGGTAACCACAGTCAAGAACTGAAATGGCAAGTTCCGTCTGAAAATGGGACAGTGAATAAGGATGACAGAAGGATAGAGGCCTTTGAGCCGGGGTGTTGAGGAAGAGTGCTGAGCATCCCATGGACGGCCGAAAGAAAGCAGGGCTGTCCTGGAGCAGGTTCCACCTGGGAGCCCCTGCGAGGCCAGGCTTGGTCTCACATGCTGGGGGCATGCTTTCAGAGGGCCGGCCCCTGGGAAGAGACACCGTGCCTGGAAAGGTGGTGGCTCAGCGAGGAAGAGGAGGCCCTTCAGTGAGCCGGGCTGGCAGTGACGGCGGCAGAGGGCTCGCGCGTGGCCGGGATGGAGGGGATGGGCTCAGTCGTGCCCTCATTCACGGGGGCTTCCTGAGTTGGAGCCCACTCCACGCCACCTCACGAGACATCTTAGTAACGTCCAGGGCCCCCAAGCCCCGGCCATTTGTCCTGACTCACAGACGCCCTGCAGGACAGAGGGGAACTGCCCCGGGGTTCCCATGGCTGAAGCCGATTGGCTTGTCCAGCAGCTGCTGGGCTCAAACCCTGGACCTCTTTCTTAGCAGCCAGCGTGACTTAACCACAGTGCCCGGTATACAGCCAGAGCTTAACACTAGGCAGTGCCCACGCCCGTGTCCCAAGCCCTGGTGGGCGGTGGTCAGAGGGTTCCTGGTGGGGGGACAGCTTCTGGATTAAACCAGAACACCTCCCTCCATATTTCCCTCTGCAGATGGGGAGACTGAGGCACAAAGGTTACTGCAAGGACACCGTAACCGACTGGCCATGGGCAGGGGCCTCTGCAGGGATGATAATATATAGGGCTCCCTGGAGGGCCAGCAGTGGTCTCCCCCCAGCACAGGACATTCCCACAATCCCAGGCCAGTGCAGCCAGGTCAGTGGAGAGCCTGGAAGCCCCCTCCCCGCCGTCGTCCAGGGGCTGCAGGGTCAGGTGCAGGCCGGGATGTGGTGGGTGCTGTGAGCCGAGGCGGCGTGGGTGCCCCCTGCACCTCCCGTTGGCAGCGTGGGAGCCTTGCTGACGGCCGGGCGTCTCGCGTTATCGGCGCCGTTCTAATTGTGCGGGTGCCGGAATTAGCAGCATTAGAATAAATTGCCTGGCAGCCCGTTTCTCCACGCTCATCACAGCGGCTTTGTGTGGCGCCTCTGTCGCTGCCAGCATGCCTGCTGCGGGCCTGGGCGCCCTGGGTGGGAGGGCCCCCCAGGTGGGCACCTCGCATTGGGCCGCAGTGAGTGGGGGGTGCGTCTGCTGTTACAGCCAGCACCTGTCCGCCCCATGGACCCCTGCAGGAAGGTGTCCTCGTCCCTATTTATCAGAGGTGACAAGGTCTGAAGCCCGTGGCTGATCAGGTGGAGGGCACAGAGGGCTTCCCAGCCTCCGCACCTCTGCAGCCAGAGTAGGAAGGGCCATGGACGGTGCGGGGCTTCGGGGAGTGGGCCAGCCACAGGCAGCATGGCCCCCAGGTCCCCCACCTCAGCCCTGCTGCCGGGCCCTGACACGCGCCGGGAGGTCACGGCGGGCCAGGCACCACCTCCATCCAGTCAGGGAGTGCCCGTCCTGTGTGGTCTGCACCCAGCCTCCTGTTTTATGATGTTGAGGTGCCTGAGGAGGCGGGCACTGAGGGGGCCCCACAACCAGGAGACAGAGGGCCGCAGCTGGGACACCCTCTGCCTGGACCCCTGTGTGGCTCCCCTTGCCACTGGATCCACATGCTCCTCCTCCGGGCCACTGAGGTCACCACGGCCTGACCCCTGGCCTTCTCGTATCCTCAACTCCCCCAACATCCGTCTTCTACCCATCCGCCTTGCTCAGGACCCCTGCTTGGACTGGGCCCAGGCTGTCCCTGCTGCCACCCTCAGGTGTCCCTCTGCTGGTTCTTGGCTTGTCATTGTTTGAGGTGGAGCCCACTTACCTCCCCCTCTGTGTGTCCAGGCACTGCTGGACTTGGGTGTCCCCCTATGGCCCAAGAAGCTGGCTAAGGTCTAAGCAGATGAAAACCCCGCTCTCACGCTCCCCCCTGTGTCTGAATCCATGTGTGTGAACCAAAGTGGGAACATCTCAGTCCACTGGACACGGTCCCTCGGGCGTGGCTGCGTGCTGGCCTGGCCCTGGTGGCTGGGGGCTCGCCCTTGCAGAGCATCTGAGCTGAAGTCTCAACATGACGGGTGGTCAGGGGTGTCCACAGGCCTGTCTGCCACCCTTGGTAAATGGGCACAGAGGGAGGATGAAGACAGGGGAGGGGGATTCTGTGCCCCTCCAGGCTCTGCTGCCAGGCTGCCGCTGGGAAGGGAGCGAGGAGCTGGAGAGCTAGCCCTACAGTCCCTCACACCCTCTCTGTACCCACAGGTTCCCCCTGCGAGATGGAGGCCGGAGAAGAGGCTCCGGCCATGGACACAGGCCTCGCAGAAAGGGAGTCAGCCCCTGCAGCTGAGGCCGCAGCACAGCCCGAGCTCCTGGCACAGCCCGAGGCCCCGAGCCCTTCTGGAGGAGGTGAGTGGGGCACGCACCCATGCTCACTGGGGTCTTCTGGCAGCTCTGTCCTCATGGGGTCTCAGTTTGCATATCTGTGAAGGAGGTGCTGTAGACTGCTCTCCCCGATGGGGGGCAGGGAGAACCTGGGGTCTCCCGTCCAGGGATCTGTACCCAGAACACCTGTAGTGACTGGGGAGTGGAGTCGGACACCCCTGCAGCAGGTGGTCACATGGGCACACCCTAGCCTCCGTTGACTCTCTGCAGTAGGCTGACAAAGTCATCCTTGGTGGTGAGCCCAGCGCTGGCTGTATGAGCAAAGCCCAGAGAGGGTAAGTGGCTGACCCAGCGTCACACAGCTGCCAGAGCCCCAAAGGCACCCAGGGCTGAGGCCTGACCCCCTTGGTCACCTGGATGCAGATGGCCCAACCGTTTAAACCTCACCTAGGCACGTCGGAACTCTCCCAGGCCTTCCTCGCAGTAAGGGGCACTTTTCAGAGCAGGCCTTGAGGGGAGAGCGACCTGAGAGCGGGTGACCTCAGACCTCAATTGCTGAACCCAAACCAGGGAGGCTGAGTGGTGGTGCCAGGAATTCGGCCCCCTGTTTTTCTGTTGGGGACACTGAGTGCAGGGTCACACAGGCCCCTTCCCAGTCGGCCACTGTGACCTTACATCCGCCCATTTGACAACTTGGAGCCTGAGTCACCCCCCCGTCCCCCAACAGCTGACAGAGGAGACACGGTTCTGCCTCCGGGGTGCTAAGTGGGTGTGTGCAGGACTGATGGACGGGAGGCGAGGTTCACAGGGACCGTCTCTAAGGAGACGACACTGCAGAGATGGAGGCCATGTGGGGCTGCCACGTCCTACACGTGCACACACACGTGGGCAGACCGGCCTGGCTGCAGAGGCAGGAGACCTCAGAGCGGCCTTGACCCTGGGAGGTGGAGGGTGCCTCCCTCGCTGGACCCGCCACTCCATTCTCAGCTTCCCTCTCTCGCAGGCCTGGTGGCCAGCACAAGGACGTCCTGGGTTGCTAAGCAAAAGTGTGAGGGTTTGAATCTACCAGTTGCTTCTTGGGAGAAAGCGAGGTGTTCCTCTGCTGTCAGGGTCACAGCGGGACCTGCTGACGCCACGCGGTGAGGCCACACTGACTTGGGCAGCCCGCTGAGTTAGGGTTGTCGTTTGCCATCAAGTCAGAACTGACTCCTCGCTGACCCCACCATAGCTATACATTAAGCGGGAGAAAATTACCTGTCTTTCTCCTGAGGAGCGGCTGGGAGATTTGAACCAGCTGTCTTTGCATTGGTGGCACAGTTCCTTACCACTAGGCCACCAGGGCTCCGTGTGTGTGTGTGTGTGTGTGTGTGTGTGTGTGTGTGTGTGTGTGTGTAACTCATTGTGGTCGAGGCAGAACCCACTCCTGGCTGACCGTCTGGCAGGTCGCCCGGTGTGAGTCACGTGCCAGTCACGTGACAGGAGATTGCCTGGCATTCTCCCCAGGAGCGCTGGAGGATTTGAACCAGCAGAGTGGCATGACTTTGGGTTAGCCGGCAGCTCCCTGTGGCTACTCCACCAGTTTCACACCAAAATGAGGGGGAAATAAAGAGCCTCAGGGCCCCCACTAGGGCAGCTCCAGCCCGCTTGCCAGTGCAGGGTGCTGGGTACTTGGGCTGAGCGTAGGTGTGCGTGTGCCATGGTGTGGTGGACGTGTGGGCTGTTCGCAGCAGTGGGGACAGCAGGCGCAGGCGACACCATGCTGGCCTTGTCTTGGGGGCTCTGTCTGCCAGGCACCATCGCTTTGAGAAGGAACTGGTCCCACGGGAAGGGGCTGTGGGTTGGGAGGGCCTCAGCCGTCCCAGGAGCTGGCCCTGGTATAGTGGAAACATGGGACACTGTTGCCTCACATAGAAGCAACAGAAGCAAGCCCTGGCCGGCTGGACCTGCCTTATTCTGCCACATCCTGCAGCTGGCCTGCATGGCTCCCCCAGGCTGCAGTGAGCTGGGGCCGGAGCGCACCCCACAGCTCCCCGGAGCAGCCTGCAGCCCTGGCCAGCAGGTCAGATGGCCGCTGCATGGGCCTGGCCTCTGGCTGTGGTTCACCCACTGTGCCTTTCTCATGCCCGCCCACATCGCCTGGGCTCTGGCGAATGTAGGCCTCGGGGAGCCGCACTGCCCGCCCACAGCCACGCCTCTGATGGTTCGACTCCACCAGCGGCCTGAGGAGGAGGCTGGCTAGCCCTTCCTGTGTGGTTCCCAGCCCCCAAACACCGCTGGAGGGTCAGCGCTCGGGAGCTGACAGTTTCCTGTCTGTAGAGCAGGACAGGCCAGGCGGTGCCGTCCCATCACCTGCCATGGCCGCCCCCTGGAAGCACAGTGGCAGCCGGGGTGGGCGGACAGGGCTGCCAAAGGGCAGTGGCTCCTGGCGGATGGACTCTGCCCGGAGCCCAGGCCTCGTATCTGATGGGGAGCGGGGCTCCCTGGCGGGCGAGGCCGAGAGCGAGCTGGGAAAGGTGGCCAACGCTGTACCTGGCACAGGCAGCGGCGATAAAGCGACGATGGGCAGATAAGACGGCGCGGGAGCAGTTTCTGCTGCTCGAACGGGCCCGGCTCGGCTCCCGCGCGGTGCCTGGGCCCGGGTGCCAGCCACTTTGATTTATAGCCAAAAATAATAGGACTTTTATACCGTGTGATTGATTTATTTGATGTTAATCATGGTCCTTATCAGTGTATTAATAATCTGCCGGGCGTGTGACGTCACGGCGGGGGGGAGCTTTATGGGAGCTCATCGATTGGGGGCCTCGCTGGTTATCAGACTGGCTGGGAAGGCAAATATGCCCTTTGGGCTGGAATTGGGTGCGGGGCCCGCGGGGGATGAGGAAACGGGGGCTGAGGCCCAAGTGTGGTGGCCTGGGCGTGCCAGAGGCCAGCCTGCCCTCTAATTATTAACAGCAGCCGAAGCAGGGAATGAGGGGTGGAGGTGGTCAGGGGAGCACAGGGGTCAGCCCCCCGTTAGAATGAGCCAAGGCAGGGAGCCTGTGGTCACACATCAGGCTGTGGTCTCTCGACGGGTAGGGTGACCCCTGAGGATGGCAGGGCCATGATGGTGCCTTCTCTCTGCAGACACGGAGTCACCCCCTCCACCACCACCACCACAGCCATCGCCCTCACCCCCAGGAGGCCCTGAGGAGAGTGGGGGACAGGAGCTGGACACGCAGCCAGAGGAGGACGTGGGGACGAGCAGTGCCTGGAGCGGGCCAGGTAACCACAGGGGATGGCGATGCATCCCAGGTGGCCCCGGCTCAGATCTTGGGGTCTCTGAGCTGGTCTCCTGGAGGGGTGGACCTGGTCAGCTGACCTGTGGGGCTGGCACTGTGTGTGCTCAGTGTGGAGCTGTGTCACCTAGACAGGACGTGCACAAGGGGTGGCAGGGGCAGATAGGCTGGGTAGCTGGAGGCAGGGCCTGGCTAGAGGAGTGTGGGCGTGGCAGCGCTCCTGGCTGGCCAGGCTGGAGACAGAGGGCCACATGATGAGGGCCTGGCCATGCTGAGGACACAGGGCAGTGACCTGGACGAGGGCCTGGCCATTCTAGAGGAGAGACAGCCCCACCGATGGGCCTCAAGGCATCACGGATGGGAGCTGGCACTAAATCTGGACAGGAAACCATCCTTGGCAATATTTCTGCCCATCACCCTCACAGCCCAGTGGCAGCTGGGCACCAGCCTTCTCCCCACTTACGATCCATGGCCATAAACCACCACCTGGCACGCTCTGGGAGGGCTAGCACCTGGGTCTCCTTGTCCATAAATAATAACTTGGCGCTGAATGCTGGGCAGCGTTAGGACCATTTCCCTGCTGGGGGCGGCCCTGCAGGAGAGTCCGCCTGTCACAGCCAGGCCAGGACAACCCCAGGGTCCTCAGGCAGATGGGACAGAGGCTGGCACTTAGGGCATCTCCTGCACACGGAAGGTCTGGTGACCCGGTCCTCAGGGAGGTTCAGTTCCAACAGCTGCTCTGCAGACACACAGGCAGTGTCCTCCCGTGCGATTTATGGCCTCCAGAGACCCGCTGGAGGGGCAGCTACAGGCCCTGCCTCTTCAGCCATGAGGTTCTGAGTTTGAGTGGCCGTGGGTCAGCTCCGGGGACCCCAGGGAGCACGCCTGTGGCCTGGGGCCAGACAAGGCTGTGAGCATGTGCTCTGGAAGAGGTTGTGTGGCCTGACAACTGGGGACCAGGCCAAGGGACCCTCCTTTCACTCCACAGACCCCAGGGGCCTCCGAGTGGGCCTCCTGCTGGCTTCTGCTGGCCGATTGCTTGACCGGCTCCTGGTAGGGGATGGAGGAGTGAAGTGTGCGATGGGCTGTGGGGACACACGACCCACTCACAAGGTCCATTCCCATGGCTGAGGGGGTCAGCCCAGAGTGTGTGACCCCACATGTGAGGAAGTTGAGTCCACCTCAGCCCAGACAGGCCATGGGGCTGGCCACTGGGCAGATGGCAGAGAGCCCAGGCAGGACACAAGACACCTCGCCGGCTTCCATTGCCCAGGGTCTGCACAGCCATCAGCCAGTGCACCGAGGGCTGACCCCCGAGGGAAAGGTGGTGACCACCCATTTTACAGGTGAACTCATTCCCCTGGGGGAGGCCTGACTGCCTGGGGCGGGGGCAGCTGTGCTGCAGTTCGGGGCTGGGGGCATGGAGCAGGCTGTGCGATATGTGTCCTGGGCGGAGGTGGGGACTTCTGGACCATGGGCACGATGGGCCGATAACAGCCGCCCGCCAACCGCCATGCCGCCTATCAGCCCCCCACAGGCCCTTATCACGATCCAGCCCAGTGCTTATCTCCAGGCTGCCCGGCCAGTGGGGGCATTAGGATGCCAGGGCCTGGTGAGGCCGGTGGCCCTGAGGGCAGTGGCCAACATGCACCAGGGATGTGTCCCCGTCGCCCTGAAGTGTGGGTGCTCTCTGCCCTCTCCCTGGCCCCTCTCGCTCGTTGCCACCTGTCTCTTCCTTGCTGTGTGTCTGGCTCTATGGTCCCCAGCCTGTCACTACACTTAGGCCTCACTTGTGGTGACAGCACTGGCCCTCCTGTGTGAGGTGCAGGAGAGGAGAGAGACTGTCTTCCAAGTTTCTGATGAACAGAAAGCCCCTCTGGTACATGGAGCAAGGTCCCCCATGGAGCTCAGTGATGCTCCATCCCCCTTCCCCACCCCACCCCCGGCCACCGTCTGCCACTGGGACCCGGCACCACTGCCTCCATGGAGGTCAGCTAAGGCCTCTCTGCACCTGCCCCAAACCAAGGGTGGCCCTTGGTGGGCAAGCTCTTGACTGTCAAGGAGCCCTGTGCCACTCAATGCCTGCCTTCATCCCAGCTCCCCACCCTGCCCAACCCCCAGGGATCCCAAGCAGGGAGGGACTTTGAGTGTCTGTTTTCATTTTGAAGTGACTACATTGTCATCTCCTGCAGCTGAGCCTTGGCAGGTGCCCAGGGAGAAGCAGACCCTGGGCCGTGCAGGGGGGCGGCTGTGTGGCCGCGCTGGGCCTTAGTCTCCCCGTCTGTAAACAGGGAAGCTGTTATGAGGGTGAGAATCCAGGGGTGCAGAGTCTGGCGAGATCCCAGAGCAGAGCAAGGCCCCCGGCCCCCCAGTCTGTCCCTCAGAGAGGGGGACCATCCCAGCACCCTGTGGGAAGACCCAGATGGACTGTCCACACAGGAGCTCAGTCTGGGGCAGGTGGACACGGGCACACAGCCCTCTGAGGCCACCACTGTCCTGCCGACCCTCCAGCCCCTGTCCCCAGCCCACCCGGGCCAGGAGGAAGCAGAGGGCAGGCCTTAGGAAGAAAGATGGTATTTTTATCTTTAAAATGACCTGGTTTGCTGAGGGGCTGCCTAGTTAAAATTCCAATATGCAAATGCCTGATAGCAATAATCTAGAAGCCCCAGCTTCATGCAGTCTCCATTCTCGGAGGATGCAGGCTCCTGAGTGCACAGAGGGACAAGGCAGGGCGGCTCAGAGCTCCACACCAGGTTGAGGAGGGCTGGCTGAGCCCCGGAGTCCTGTCCTGACCCCGTGCCCAGCCCCAGGGGACCTGGCCAGGAGGAAGAGGACTCGCTGGATCCCCGGGTCCTGTCCTGACCCCATGCCTACCCCCAGCAGGTCTGGCCACCACCACCTTCCTGGGGTGCCATCCTACACAGGGTCCAAATGCCAGCTGCTTTCAGAAGCCAGAATTTTGGGTGGAGGGATGGCTGGAGTTCCCCAGTCCTGAAGACCCTGTAGGGATGGCCAGGACCAAGGGAAACTCATATCCCATGCCTGCCTGAGAAGGTGGGCCCCTGGCCCATGCCAGGCAGAGCTGGAACACAGGGTGTGCACGTCAGGGGAGCATGTTGGGCCCCCTCTATGCCTGGAGTCGGGAGGAAATGCCTCTGCTGAAGCTCCCTGAACTACTTCCCACCCTTTACACACAGTCCCTCCCCAGTCCTGCCACCAGCCCAATGAGGGAGGGAGTGCACTCATTTAATGAACCCACTTTTTAGCAAGGAAAACTGAGGCTTCAGTAAAGTAGAGTGGCGTGGCTTGGTCCCAGCTCACAGTGGACAGGGAGCTGGGACTTGAGAGAGGTTTTTCCAGGTAGCGGGTCTCTTCGCTTCACTTTAGCCCACTCCCCACTCCCAGAGGCCACACGCTTCCCTCCAGGAAGGGGGCCTCCTTCACCCGACAATGTCAGCCTGAATTTTTTTCTGGTTGCCACTGTTCACAAGTGAAGTCCGACTCGTTGACGTTGGGTGTTCTGTCCGCTGCAGGTCAGGACATGGCCAGCCAGGCAGCAAGGCCAGGTCTGAGCAGTGGCAAGGACAATACTCTCAGACCTAAAAGCAAAGGACAAAGACCAGTGTGGGGCAAAGGCCCAAGATCCAGAAAGATCCAGAACATGGGGCCTGGTGTGGAGGGGCAGGCAGAGGTGTGGGGCGTGAGGCGTGGGGCCTGGTGTGGAGGGACGGCCCGAGGCATGGGCTATGACGCCTGGTGTAGAGGAACAGGCCAAGGCGTGGGGCGTGGGGTTAGGTGTAGAGTCAGGCAGGTCCTGGGTCTGCTTTCCTCGGTCCACTTTTACCACAGAGTGGCCAGACAAGGAGAGGACTTCAGGGGACCTTGGATCACTTGGAATTTAGGGGGAGCCCAGCCTCCACCCACCCAGGGACCAGGGCTGCTGGCAGCAGGAAGCCCTCACCAAAGTGGGAGTGGAGTGGGCTTTATCTGGGCAGGGCCCCGGCCACTAATCTCCCCGGCCGGAGTCTCTGTGCAAACCTCAGGGTTTGTTATCGGGCGGCGGCTAGGCAGGCGGCCCGTCCTGATGGACAGCAGAGAGATGGGCCGATAGGGTGGTGAGGCCCCCCCACGCCGCGTGTGTGGGTGGGAAAAATCATTTCAGCTATTTTGTGTTATCGGGGTCCAGCGCTGACGTCTGATAGCCCTATTTGTCTTAGATTAACTGTGGGGAGGGACGCAGGGGTCAGCCTCGGGTCAGCTTAGGCGCAGGCCCAGCATTGGCATCCCAGCAGGAGCCAGGGTGTCACAGTGGACCCACTCTTCTAGAGAGAGCACTGCCCAGGGAGGAGCCACCAGACCTGTCCCCAACACTGGTCACGCCCTCGACTCTTCCTTCCTTGCCCCCACCCTGCCCTTGAAGCTGTGCTGGGGGCCTTGGGGGATGAGGCCTGGGCAGCGCTCTCACAGGTTGTCCTCTGGCCTCCAGTAGCTTTGGCCACAGATGTGAGGAGTCCTGGAAGCAGAACTTGGAGGTTGGGGCTCTCCCTCCAGCAGCCAGTGGGGGACCTGAACCCCAGGCTGTGTCCACCACTAGAGCCCCACTGATGGCCACCCTGTCCTGCCTCTCATCCCTGCAACTCCCCCACACAAGTCACTGGGCAGCTTGCCCTCCGGCTGTTGTGGTCACTCCGTGTGGCTGGCCCTGGCCGTGACCTCCACCTCCCCCAGCTGCATCCCACCCCTCCTGGCACACCGAGGCCACCACAGCCCTGGAGACTGCGTCAGGAAGCACTCTTCAGCGGGAGGGAAACTGAGGCATTTGGGCCGCTGCTTCCCTGTAGCCAGTGGTTGCTTGGCTCTGAACAGCCACGAGGCTTGGTCAAGATCCATCTCCCAGGGTCCTTCCTGCTGGGCCAGCCTAGCTCTAACCCTCCAAGGGCCACCAACTTGACTCTAACTGAGACCTCCACCCCTGCAAGGTCCCAC